GGCCTCTCTGCCGCATGCCCTTGCAGGCATTGCAGCCAGGCACGCCATCCAGCCCGCAGATGGCGCGGCCGCTGCACAGCGTCCAGGCCGTGGTGCAAATGATGCAGCATCACTTCAGTGAAACACACGGCCAGCTGCAGTTCTTGATAGAACCCAAGATTGACGGTGCGGGGCATTGGAGACCCTGCTGGGTGCTGTCATGTGTCAGCCTGCACATCTTGACGCTTGCACCGCTTGCTCTGCAGGAGAACGGCAGCAGATACACGTGCTGGGGCGGGATCGCATCCATTACTGGTCGCGCCGGTGAGTTGCTCGTCGGGCATCGTGGCCACAGAGCGAGTTGGCCTGCCTGTGTGGTGCATACAATGCTGCTGCTGACACTGTGCCGGTCGTTTCTGGCAGGGGCTTTGACCATGGATTGAACAGCGTCAGCAGAGTTGGCTGTGGTGGCTACGGCTTATTCAAAAGTTGTCAGGCAGCAGGTGGCGGCAGGCTCCGTAGTCTTGGATGGCGAGCTTGTTGTCTAGAACACGAGGCGGTGAGTGCAAACTGTGGACACACATCGCATGTGGGATAGAGTGCTTGCATCAAGCGTTATGATGCGCTGCAGCCTCTGCTTTGAACCATTTGGCGTTTTCAGGAGCGTATTCTGGGCTGCTCTACGTGCTGAAGCTTCCCCCCAGGACGAAAAGCGCTGCCGAGACGTCAATGGTGTGCGATTAGCTGCCTTTTTGCCCCGGGCTGAAAAGCTTTGGTGCCTTGGATGCCCCGACTGACCTTGCCTCACCGCAAGAATGCAGATGGCAGCACCATCAACACTGCCGGTCCAGACTGGATGCCCCCACAGCTCAAGGTGAAAGTAATGCGAACTACAGTTTCTGGCTTTTGGCAAGTTGTCACGTTGTTTTTGCGGCCACCCAGGATGTTGAGGTTGTCTACGTATGCTGGGACGTTTTGCACATCGATGGCCGCAATGTCAACTCTCTGCCGCTGCTAGACCGCCACAAGCTGCTGCGCGAGGTAGTAAGAGAT